CTTTCAGCTTGTATTTGGCTACTTTTAACATGCTGTTTTCTACTTTCAGCTTGAATTTTGCTACATTCAGCTTGCATTAGGCTACTTTCAGCATACACTAGGTTACTTTTAGCTTGGATTTGGCTACTTTCAGCTAGGAATGCACGATATATATGGTACATGATAGAAACAATAGACTTTTAGCCTATGATAGAGATCTGTTCTATCGGTTAACTGCAGTAATGCTGTGTCTGATGTAAATTCAGAGTTGTCAGATTTAATCGTTACTTTTTTTTTAGTTGAAAACTGTGCGTAAGTGGTGTTAAAGTCGTTTCTTTGAGAGCTAAATAGCGAAGCTACAAGCTAACTACGGCCGGCTTGCCATACTCGTATTCGGACGCATGTGCAAAACACTTTTGTTGAAAGTTTTTTTTTTCCCCGTCGAAAGTTCGTTTGTCAGCTTTAGAGAGTGCATTTGAGCTAAAAAAAAAAATTATTTATTTTTTTTAAACGGTTTAACCTGCTCTCTGATCTGTAAAAAGAACACTTTGTTGTGTGATTTACTGCGAGACCCTCTGGTCAAAGCCACAGAGGAAACTGGTCACCATTTTGTGTCGGCTCTCCTCAAAGGAAAAAGAGACGCCCACTAGAGGGTTGGAGGGTGAAGTGTTTCAGTGTAAAATGCTGCTCTGTTGCTGTTCATTTCTTAAGTAAGAAGACTGGAAACTGTTGAGTTAACAACATATTCTTTGTTTAAAACATATGGCTAAAACTACAAAACGGATTCCATAAAAGTTGGGACACTAAACAAATTGTGAATAAAAACTGAATGCAATGATGTGGAGGTGCCAACATCTAATATTTTATTCAGAATAGAACATAAATCACAGATCAAAAGTTTAATCTGAGAGAATGTTTCATTTTAAGGGAAAAATTTGTTGTTTCCTAATTTCATGGCGTCAACAAATCCCAAAATAGTTGAGACAAGTCCATTTTTACCACTGTGTGGCATCCCCCCTTCTTCTTACAACACTCAACAGACGTCTGGGGACAGAGGAGACCAGTTTCTCAAGTTTAGAAATAGGAATGCTCTCCCATTCATGTCTAATACAGGCCTCTAACTGTTCAATCGTCTTGGGCCTTCTTTGTCGCACCTTCCTCTTTATGATGCGCCAAATGTTCTCTATAGGTGAAAGATCTGGACTGCAGGCTGGCCATTTCAGTACCCGGATCCTTCTCCTACGTAGCCATGATGTTGTGATTGCTGCAGAATGTGGTCTGGCATTATCGTGTTGAAAAATGCAGGGTCTTCCCTGAAAGAGATGACGTCTAGATGGGAGCTTATGTTGTTCTAGAACCTGAACATAGTTCTCTGCATTAATGGTGCCTTTCCAGACATGCAAGCTGCCCATGCCACAAGCGCTCATGCAACCCCATACCATCAGTGATGCAGGCTTCTGAACGGAGCGTTGATACCAACTTGGGCTATCCTTGTCCTCTCTGGTCCGGATGACATGGCGTCCCAGTGTTCCATAAAGAACTTCAAATCGTGACTCATCTGACCACAGAACAGTCTTCCATTTTGCCACACTCCATTTTAAATGACCCCTGGCCCAGTGCAAACGTCTGAGCTTGTGGAGCTTGCTTAGAAATGGCTTCCTCTTTGCACTGTAGAGTTTCAGCTGGCAACGGCAGATGGCACGGTGGATTGTGTTCACTGACAATGCTTTCTGGAAGTATTCCTGAGCCCATTCTGTTATTTCCTTGACAGTAGCATTCCTGTTTGAGGTGCAGTGACGTTTAAGGGCCCGGAGATCACGAGCATCCAGTAGAGTTTTACGGCCTTGACCCTTACGCACAGCGATTGTTCCAGATTCTCTGAATCTTTTGATGATGTTATGCACGGTTGATGATGATAACTTAAAAGTCTTTGCTATTTTACGCTGGGTAACATCATTCTGGTATTGCTGCACTATCTTTCTGCACAACAATGGTGGAATTGGTGATCCTCTTACCATCTTGGCTTCTGAGAGACACTGACACTCTGAGAAGCTCTTTTTATACCAATCTTGTTGTCAATTGACCTGATTAGTGTTAATTGGTCTTCCAGCTGTTCGTTATATGCTCAATTTCCTTTTTCCAGCCACTTATGGCTACTTGTCCCAACTTTTTTGGGATTTGTTGACACTGTGAAATTTTGAATCAACATATTTTTCCTTTAAAATGTTACATTTACTCAGATTAAACTTTTGATCTGTCATCTATGTTATATTACAAATAAAATATTGACATTTGCCATCTCCACATCATTGCATTCAGTTTTTATTCACAATTTGTTTAGTGTCCCAACTTTTTTGGAATCCAGTTTGTATTAATTCATACTAAAGTAATATACGGTATATCAAAAGTTGCACAGATTCTGATCTGATATTTTAAAAAGTTAAAGAGTTTTTGCTGATTTGTGCTGGTCTTCAGGTCTGTGGGGAGCTGGTTCCAATCCTTTGTGGCCTTGTATGAAAACACTGGTGGTCTGAAGGTAGATTTGTGTTTAGGAATACTGCACTCCCATCTAGAGGTGGTCCTTGTTACTCTGTTCATATGCTCAGAGGTCAGATGAACAAAAGATTTTAGAGGCGGAGGTGCAGAACCATGTATAATTTTAAATTACATCCATATCATATTTTCAAAACTCAACAACTTAAGTCTACAAAGTATGTTACAACGGTGACGTTGTGTTCTCTTAGCCATGATTTTCAGCCTTTAGCTAGTATTCTGCTCATTTTAGCTTTTAGCTAGTGTTCTATAACAAGTGAGTTTTAGCTTCTTCATTAAATTTCTGCAGTCATTCAACACTTGCATTACATTTTTACAGAAAATTTGTTTGTTTTTTTGTTTATATTTGCATTTATACATATGTGTGGTGTTGTATGTGTGTTGAAAACATACAGTGTTATTTCTGGTTTATTTTCTTCAGTGTGTTTGTGCAGCTTCCCCCCTCACCTGGACCTTTCACACCTGCGCAGCACGTGCACTCTGTTATCAGACAGGATGCAGAGGAGAGAGCGTACCTGCACTGCTGACACAGCTCTCCACACGAGGTCGTTTGTTATGCTGACCCTGTTCCTCCGTGACCTCAGTCTCCTCTTTCTGACTCTCGCTGCTGCTGCTCCTGCTCTCGTCCAGCTTCCTCTTGGGGAACATTTTCCTCGCTGCAAACATCAAGAATATATATATTTATTTTTTTTAAGTGAAAGGCTTTCCAGTTGAAAATTTGCCACGATTAAACAAACAAAAAAAAAAAAGTGAAGATGAAAAACAAGCCGAGTCTCTTGCTGCAAATGTAGGGCAACAACAACAGAAAAAGAATCAGATGCACACTTTGCTAATGAAAACACTAATTCCATCCGGAAAGATATTATGCAGCCAAGCAGCTTTACAGTTCCCGTGTAATTTCCACCATAATTGTACGCAACAGTAGAGCTTGAGGGCAATCTGGGTTTTTCTTCCACATCTGCTTCTGTTTGGCTCCTTGTTAAGGGTCTAGCAAAGGTAGCAGTGTTGTTGTTTTTCTTGAAGATATCCATGATGAACGCATTAACCCGAGACATTGCGAATGCAATTTCTGCTCAAATAAGCGTGTTGCTTTAATGTGATGATTCTGCCAGCAGTGATGGCGGCAGGGCTGTTATTGGAGCAACATGCAGATGCTGAGAGCAAACGGCGAAGCCATTCGGCACAAAGAGAACGGGGTGCAAAAAAACAAGAGAGATTCCGGTCTGCAAAAGGATAAATAAAAGAAAGTGAGAAAAGAGGTGTGTCCCAAACAACAACAAAAAAAGCGGCAAAACCTAAACTGTATTTAAAGCTTTCCTTGAAGGTGTAACATGGAAACAAAACAGCCACTGCTCATGCAAGAGTTTTAGTTTAAGATGATCTTATAATGAGAAATACCGTATTTCCCAGCCTATAAGCTGCTACTTTTTTTTCCACATGCATTGAATCCCGCGGTTTATACAATGCTGTGGTTAAATTAAGGATTTTTTTTGGAGGGGCGGGGGACGGGCTAACGAGCTTCCTGCCACCAAAAACATTTAGCTTCGTCACACCCGGGCGCTCACATAGCTGTCCAATACATGTCTCTCTTGTGGGGGTGGGTCCTCGTGACTCAATGAGACTACTTGTATAAATGAAAATAAAAAAATTACCAAACAGGTCACAGTCGAACCAATGAAACGGGAAGGGGAGGAGAGAACGAGCAGTGAGGAGGGACTCACACGCTCACAGAGCAACTTTTGCTCCATGAAGCAGGAGGACAGCTTGTGCAGGAGGAAGATGAAGCTAGCCATCAATGACTTCCTGGTAGTCTACTGTATTTTTTTTTTTTTTTACCAGCCATGTTAATGGCATTGCCCACAAATACTGTACATATTTGTGCAAGTTACTGGTACGTATTGTAGCATTGACTGCCGGTTGCATGGACTCAGGGACGGATTATGGGTATAATGTATGTTCATTGTTAATCTTTTCGGTTAGCTGTTTAGCATTGTTCTTTTAGTTATTGGTCTGTTCTTGTTAGCCTAGTTTATGTGCTAGTTTGTGTTAGGCCATTCAGTAGAGTAACAATGAGTGAGAGAGGTAGTTGTCATGAAGACCTGTGATGTTCACACTGTTCAACACACACAGACAGTAAGATAAAGTCTATAAAACGCCATCTGGTGGTTGATTCTTGATCTACAACAAGAGCTGGACATCTAGGCCTGTCACGGTAACAAATTTTGCTGGGCGATTATATTGTTTAAAATTTAACAATAATTAATTGTCAAATTTTAGAAGAAACGTTGATTTGTTTGGAGTGTAGTACCTTTTCTGACCACCTGATGGCAGTATAAGACTGTATGAACCAAAGGATGGATATCCTGATGCATGCTCAATAATCCAGGTAGAAAAATCCATCCATCCATCCATTATCTTTACCCGCTTATTCCATTTTGGGTCACGGGGGTCGCTGGTGCCCATGTCCAGCAATCACTGTGCGAGGGGCGGGGTACACCCTGGACGGGTCGCAAGTCCATCACAGGGACACAGAGACAAACAACCATTCACTCTCACCTAGGGACAATTTAGAGTTACCAATCAGTCTAACATGCATGTTTTTGGTCTGTGGGAGGAAACCGGAGTACCCGGAGAAAACCCACGCATGCACGGAGAGAACATGCAAACTCCACCCAGAAAGGCCCCTGGACCGGGGTTTGAACCAAGGACCTGCTCGCTGAGAGGCAGCAGCTCTACCAGTTGTGCCACCGTGCTGCCCGTAGAAAAATCTAAAAAAGTTAAATCTGGTCCGCTGGACATTCAAAAAAAAATAAAATAAAAATTGTAGCGCCCGTTTGCTATTCACAGGGGGCTTTCGGATGAAAGACGAAACGTTTCTACAATTTTTTTGTTTTGTTTTTTTGACTGTCCGGAGAACCAGATTTAACGTTTTTAGACAAAGGATGGATAACTGAGCAGCGTGTCTCTTTAAGAAAAATGGGAGGGAGGGCCCTTACCATACCAATTTATTTCTAAAGCACTTAAAATACAACATAGAAGCCGTCTGAAGTGCTGTACAAAAATAAAAACAAACAAAAAAACGTAAAACAATAAAAACAACTACATATATTTAAAAAAATAATAATTAGAACATCACAAGTAAAAGAATACAACAATAAGACAGAGATGCTAACTCACTCTAGGTTAAAAGCCGATGAAAAAAAGTGTTTTTAAACGAGTTTTAAAAACAGAGATTGATGGGGCCTGCCTGACTCTGTCCCTTGACGTGACGTGGGTTGTCATGGTAACATGGCAGACTCTCGGTGATTTGAGCTCTTTAGCATAATATTTTTCACACAAAGCTTTTAATTAAAAAATAAAATAAAATCAGTAAACAAGTTCTCAGCTTCTTTTTGTAGAGAAAAACAACTTTTTACACGAAGGCACAGGTTTCAACCGTGAATTTTGGAGCTTTGACAAGACGGAAGTTTATTCCCAAGGTCGACCTTAGCTTAGCTCGTAGCTTAGCTTCTCAGTTTAGCTGCTTTTAACGATCCAAAAACCTAATTTTGCACGGTTAAAATGGATTTTAAAGAGAAAAGAGAAAGGTCAGTGAAGAGCACCCGAGTTGAACTTTTGTCATCCAGTGTCTTCAGTAGAGAGAGACACAAAGAAACGATAAAGCCGATAAATTAAAATGAGGTTGATAATTTTCATTCATCATAAGATTAATTGATTTGTTGTTTATCGCGACAGATCTATGCACATCTCTCAGTAGCTGTGTGCTTCCACTCGTGTTACAATGTGAACACACACGGCTTATACACAAGTGCAGCTTACATATGTACAAAATATTTTTTTTTTGTTGTTTTTTTTTTTTTTTATTTAGTGTGTGCGGTTTATAGTCAGGTGCGCTCTATAGTCCAGAAATTACGGTAAAAGGAGATGATGATGTTTTGGCCAAATCTTGTAAATAGTGTTATGAGTTGCGAGACGTCACACACAGAGTTCAAGCCGTAAATGACTCTCAGCTACCACCACATCTAATTTTATCTCAATGTCCGTAAATTTGACTGTTTGTTTATTATATTTTGTGAAGTCAGTTGGCTGTAGAGGCCAAGTTGGGCTGAGTTGGCTTCAAAAGCTCATCCGTTGCAATGATACTCCTAACAGTTTCATTACAATCTGTTCAGTGGTTCATGAGATATTTTGCTAACAAACACACACAAACTCGGACAAAAACACTACTGCCAACTCTTTGCCTTTTGGCAGCAAGTGATTAAAGATCCCATTCAAGCATACCCGGTAATAAATTGCAAAGAAGGAACATTGGTGGGAGAAATAAAATGCAACTTTCTTTTAATTTAAAATCCCACAGATTTAATATTCAGGCTGTCATGGGCCGACTGAAACCAGAAAGGAATAATCGCTACATATGTGCAAGCCGTTCATAAAAAGAGAATTAACAAAAGCTGGGGGGAAAAATAAAAAAGACCCAAATGAAACTGAAAAATCAGCTGCAATAATAGGACAGCAACGCTCTGCTGCTTTGGTCCAGTCAGCAGAAAGGAAACGCTGCAAAACAATGCATCAGTAATAACATTATTATCATAATGCAAATACATGCAGAAATAAATTACATAAGCTGCAGAAGGGGCGTACTTGTGATTCAGCAGATAAGATTAATGAGAGATAGTGAAACACGATCGAGTTTAAAGGTTGTCAATGTGAGGCAGTCCAGGGAGTCAAACAAATGGAACTAAAGAGTCCAGAGCCTGGTAAGCTGTTTCTGGAGAGAAAACTTTTAATGGTTTCCAGTTCGGGATAAACGTCTTGTTTGTCCTTCATTGTGAAATACTGATTATTTGGAGCCATTAAGCTCCTGCTAACAAGTAATCAGGTCGAACAGCTCGAGGCAGGAGAACTATTAATCCTCTGCTGGTGTCAAAGTTCAAAACGTTGCAAAGAGTTTGATGAAGATTGACAAAAACTAAACCTGGACTAGAGCAGGGCCAAACGAACCAGTTTGTCATCTCTTCTGATTTTGTTGAAACATCGTTGTTGTTTTCTTGTCAACTAAAACTGAAAATCGTTTTGCATCTTAAAGCCACTCATGTTTAAGTTGAACCAAATATAAACATTCAAGACAAAAACGGCCTTTTCTTTTAGCCACAGAATCCATCAAACTTGATTAGATACTGACCAGTCTTGCGTTTGGTGATCCCCGTCGGGGAGATGGAACTGGGAGTGCTGGGGGTCCCAGGAGAAGCCGAAGAGGACGGGGTGGCGGGGGTTACGGGTGTAGCTGGGGCTGGTGGTGGAGACAGCGGGGTGGGGACGGCTTTAAACTCGTCATCCTTCTGAAAGACGAACAGTAACATCAGCCGTCGTCTCTTTAGCAGGAAGCACTAACGAGAGCTTTAATTAACAGAACCACAGATTGACTTTTAATAGCAACATACGCAAAAAGGGGCAATTAATGTTTGTGTTTGTGTGCATTCAGAGTGTTAATAAAATATCTCGTGAGCTACTGGATGGCTTTTAATGAAATTCAGAAAGCAATCCATGGACGTACATCTACAACCGATTAACTTTTGGAGACAAGATGGCCGCGGCAGCTGAGCAATCTTAAGCACAACAAAACGTCTCCAACAGTCAGTTTTACAAACGGTGAGCGACATTCTGGTGTGGTGGCAGCCGAGTCATCCTCAACGTACAAACATTAAGTCTCACGTGAAATCGCACAAAACATTTTGCAAGGTTTGATCAAAATGGCTTCCACGTCTCATCACTTGATGATCTTGGTGAAAAACTGTTTAGATTAAAAGGCAGCGGGTGCATTCCTTGAATTTAGATCATTATCCTCATTTACAGTTCGTACAGAAAATACAGCATCGACGCTACAGCAGCTCATCTGTCCCAGCTGATTTCAGCTGAACAAATGTGGATGAAATCACGTATATTAACAGTCAAAAATCATCTGATATAAAAATTAGAGCCCGACCGATATATTGGTAGGGTCGATATAGGCATTTGGGGACATACTGTCTCATTATGCGAAGATATAAACACCAGAAACAAGCAGAGTCCTTAATTGCAAAAAGGTGTAATTGTGCAATGCATCCAGCAGAGGGTGCATGTGGACTACTTTCAAGTCATGGCTGTTCACTTTCGCTTTCAGCACAGCCCAAGCAGCAAGCAATACTGTGTAGAGTATTTTGCTGAGCAGAGCATGGTAAGTTTATTGTAACTGATCTGTAAAATAAATAAAAAACAATAATAAATTATCTTCGATCCTCCAACCTGCTCGTCATTAGCCTCTCAAGTTAGCAAGTTAACGTTTACATAGCCTAGCATAGGCTATTGCCTTGTAAATAAAAGTTTATCCAGAACAATAAATCTAACGTAGAAATAAAATATATCAGCGTTAGTAACGCTAGCTTTATCGTCCTCAATGAAATGCATTCATTCAACCTTTATTTGTGCAGGTTAGTCTCACTGAGCCTCGAGAGAGACCTGATTTTAACAAAAGAGTATGACAACAGTAGACAATCTTAAAACAAAGCATATAAATAGAGAAAATAAATGAAAGAAAATTATATTGAAAACAGAAACAAAAACAGCTAGGTTGTAAAGCGGTGTAGAAAACTACAAAACAGGAACATGTCTGCATTGGAAAAGATTTGTAGGCTCGATCATCCAGGTAGATAACACAAAAAATCTGGACCAGCTTCTTTAAAGGAGAAACGTTTCGTCTTCCATCCGGAAGACTTCATCAGTCAGTCAGTTATCTACCTGGATGACTGAGCCTACAAATCTTTTTCTGGACCATTTTGACCTTGGTGTCCTCAGGCTGTTTCTGTGAGTAGTATCTGCCTTCTGGCCTAAAACGTTTGATTGTTAATCAAGATGATTGAGTGTTTTGGACAGATGGGTCCTTTTGCGTGTGTGAAAAGCCGGTTTCTGAGATTCCAACAGGAGATTGGCTTCAAACACAGCAACGAAGGCTACTTATGGGACAGATCTGGTTGGCAGGCTGTAGACTGATGAAGTCTTCCGGATGGAAGACGAAACGTTTCTCCCTTAAAGAAACTGGTCCAGATGAAATGATTTAACCTTTTTTATGTCTGCATTGAGTTGTGCCAGGAACTTAACAGATGTTTGAATCCACTTAGAGAGGTCAAGGTCAAGAGCTTCAGATCTTTTTGTAAGATATTTCAGGAAATGGGAGCGGAGTAGGAGAAGGCCCTTTTGCCTTGAAATGTATTGTTCATCTGAAATCTTTATTTCTCTGAAAAAGAAAAAAGAAACTCTGCTGAGGTCAATACTACGGTAATTAGGCCTTCACCGTACGCGACTATTTAAACAACGAACAGGGAAGGGTGTTTCTTTGTTTATATTTTTGTAGCACATTTGATAACTTTATGGTGAAAAGTGGAAGATAGAACATGTGAACGCACGTTAGGAACACTGTTTCAAGACTTCAAATGTTAAAAAGCGTTTAAAACTAGCCGTTTACTTAGATTCTTGGGGACTTTGGTGGACAAAGCTCAAAACTTTTCAGCCAGTTTATCAGTTGTCAACATCAGTCTTCCCCCTCACAATATTGGTATCGGTGAAAGCCTAGACTTCCATATTGGTCGGGCTCTAGTAAAAATAAATCACTTGGTGACTTTTGTTGAGGGGAAAAAAAATAAAATAAAATTGGAAATTAAAAGTTGAAGTTTGGCATTTTCATTGCATTTTTGTTAAATGAGGATCAACCTAAATAAATAAAATCAGAGAAGCATCTGGTTCTGTCAAAACACTTTCAGCCCTTTTTGTGTGAAAACAACTTCTTAATGTGGCTCTAACCTAAACTTCTTTAGGCCGTATTATCATTTGTAGCTTTTGGAAGCTAAAATAATGTAACATTAGCATAATGTGTTCAACATAATGGTACTTCCTCCAGTTGATTTAACAGTCAACAATGGTGTACCACAAGGCTCAGTCTTAGGACCCACCCTCTTTACAATCTACATAGGTAATGTAGGTCAGAGCATCCTTGACGCATCCTTATATTTCTATGCTGATGACAGTTGTTTATTGTCGAGCTAAAACTGTTGCTAAGGCTTTCCAGCTTTTGCGATCCGCATTTGACATCATCCAGTCGGATTTGTTCCACCTCAGACTTGTCTTAAATGCCGATAAAACCAAAGGGATGCTTTTTTTCAAACAGGAAGTTGGTCCCAGCATTTCTTCCTCTGATTTTATCCTCAAATGGTGTCCCCATTGAGTTTGTTGATTCCTATAAATATTTGGGTATCTTGGTCGACTCACGTCTCTCTTTTAAGCTCCATGTGAAAACCTAGTAAAGAAACTGAAAGTTAAACTGGGTTTCTTTTTCAGAAACAGATCCTGTCTAACCCTGAACGCTAGGAAACACCTTGTATCTGACTTTCCTTCCCTCCATACCGACATTATCTACATGAACGCTCCTACAGGAACCCTGCAGATGTTGGATGCTGTCTATCATGGTGCACTAAGATTCATAACTGGCTGTGATTATCGTACCCACCACTGCACCCAGTATTCACTGGTTAACTGGACATCATTAACTTCACACAGACTCTCTCACTGGTTCATTTTCATCTTTAAATCACTTCTTGGTCTGCTGCCTTCATACATCTCCTCCTACATGTCTCTGTGTGAGTGCAGCTACAGCGTGCGCTCTCAGGACATTATTACCTGCAGTGTTCCCTCAGTGAGGACTGAACTAGGCAAAAGGGCCTTCTCCTACTCCGCTCCTGTTTCCTGGAATATCTTACATAAAGACCTGAAGCTCTCGACCTTGACCTCTGTAAGTGGCTTTAAGAATCTGTTGGACTCCTGGCAGGGACCAATGCAGACATGTTCCTGTTTTTAGTTTTCTACATTCGCCTTAGAATCTAGCTGTTTTTGTTACTTTTTTGGCCATCTTATTTTAATTTGTAAAAAAAAATAATAATAATAATCTGTATGCCTTTTTATAATTGTCTATTGTTGTTGCTGTTGTCATCATTCTATGTTGAAATCAGGTCTCTCTTGTAAATGAGTCCTCGAGGCTCAATGGGATTAACTTGTCTAAATAAAGGTTGAATAAATAAATAATCAGAAAATCTGATGAAGTGACTAATAACAGCAGCACAAGACAATTTACAGTTTAAACCTCTCCAGGAGTCTCAAATTTACAAATATTTTCTTTATTGTCCCTCTTTGTCAAAAATGTCAAAAATAAAAAAAATCCAACATTCGCAACTTTAAAAACTTTTCCAATTTACCACCGGCACTTTCACAACAACCGCGTTCCCATAAAAGGAATGCAACTTTTTTTAAGAAAAGAAAAAGCAGAGCTGCTCAATTCTACACCAATTATTACTTATTAATTACTACTACACCAATATTTTCTGTTTCAAAAGCAGCATGTTTATAAAGTCCAGTGGTACCAGTGGCAACACATTTACACCAGTGATGCTTCACAGGCTGCAGTCCTCTGAAAAATCTGCAGTTTCTTTGACCAATGAATTTGTTCATTGTGCTTTAAAAGAAGCGTCACCCTGAAATCCAAACTTTTTTAGAAAATGTGTCACCAGCAAGACTGAGTAAATAATTTCTTTAAAGCTATTTCCGATGTAAGAACTGTTAAAAAAATTCCCTTTAACCTAAACATCATGAAGCCAAACGGAGCGCGAGCGTACTGTTGACACAGATAAGTATCTAATCTTGTCAAAAAGGAGACTGATCACAGACAGAAACAATGATTAGTTGCTAGCAGACAAACCGGAGTGGAGATGCTTTGCTGCCAACAGAACGGGAGTGGATATATTACATCCACCTGGCTGCACATAAACAAGCAGACAAGGTGGGTCACGCCGACAAACCTCGCACATCCATCACAGTCTCCTACCTCAAAGAGCAAACAATAAATAATTGCTGACATGTCACAAACAAAGTGAGCGGGGCGGTTTGGAGGAGCGTTTATCAAATAACAGGTGGTTGAATGACGGCCAAAGCCGATAATCAGGCCTTTTCATTATGTGGCTTATTGACAAATGTATTCAGCATCACGAGTCAGTGTACAATCACTGGCCCTCTGTGTAAGAGTGATTTGCCCCACACTAAATAAACAACAGGCGGAGATAAGCCTAAAGGAGCCCTTAATTACAGCGGATTCAGCTCATGTGGAACGAGAGAAGAAAACGTCTGTTCTACCGTCTCCGTTTTAGCTTCTTTGTCTCCGTGTCCCTTGGTGGCAGCTTGTTCTTTAACAGTCGGAGCCTCGTCTTCGTCGCTGTCCAGGATTTGACGGCTGCGTTTGGCAACCTTCTTGATGGGTGAATCCGCTTCCTGAGCACCGTTCTGCACCTTCAGGGGGCTCTTGACAGGCCTGGAAACGTGCACAGACGCGCCATTAAGACGGAAACACAAAAGCCATAAGCTTGATTCATGAAGAGCAGGTGAAAAGCACGACGACGACGTGCTAAAAAAACAGAATATATTTAAAAAAGGTCAATAACAAAAGCTGTATTTAAACAATCCTTTACATGAAGGAACACATACCGGCCTCTCGTGCCAATTTTAATCTATAATTATCTTCTGCTACGTCTGCAGCTACTACCACACAAAACTTTACCTCATTATCCGTAAAGCTCACTCAGGTGTAGCCATTTTTTGTGTAGGCTCACGTCAGTTAGCTGTGGCAGCCATCTTGAATGAAGCCGATTACAAAAGTTACTCAGTTATAGATGCACAGACGTAAACTTCTTTCTGAGAGGTCAAAGTTCATGATCAATAATCCAGATAGAAAACCCAACAAAGTTCAGTCAGGTCATCTGGACGGTTTCTTTTGAGACGTTTTGTCCTTCATCCAAAGGACTTCATCAATGTGAGGAGCCATGGATGAAGTCCTTTGGATGAAGGACGAAACGTCTCAAAAAAAATAATAAATAAATAAAAAAAACATCCAGATGACCTGACTGAACTTTGTTGGATTTTTTACCAGGATTGTTGCGCATGAGCTTTGATGTTTTGGACCACGTTGGCTAGAGCTGCCTCAGAGGAGTCGACAGAGGAGAAACCATCTTATCACCATCAAACTGGTTGGTCCACTATGGGAGTGTGCTGTTTGTGGGACTGAGTTTGTCTGTGGCTCCTCAGATTGATGAAGTCCTTTGGATGAAACGTCTCAACAACAAAAAAAACCATCCAGATGACCTCACTGAACATTGTTGGGTTCTTTCTGAGAGCTTCATTAAAATCTAAAGCTCTTGAGATATTTTGCTAAGAGTATATATGTGATTGAATGCAGGTCTGCACAACAGAGCTCAGGGTACAAGTTGGGGATTAACCTCAGCTACTACCACAGCAGATTTGGGCCCAATGTCTGTATTACTGACTGAGTTATGGCCACTTGTGTGTTTGCTAAGATGACTTTTCAGTGGCGGCCAGCTTGAATCATGTTGCCTCCAAACATTAATCATTTATAGATGTCAAACCAGTGATTATTTTCGGAAAGTATCATAAAAAAAAATTCAGTGACTCGTGAAATATTATGCAAACAGACAAACCAACACCGACGTCGGCAAAACATTCTCACTCTGCGCCTGAGTCACACTATAAAAAAAGTATAAGGTCAATAGAAAATGCTATAAAAAAATAAAAAAAAGCTAAAGTCATAAAAAAAAGAGGTCAAAGCTGTGATGGGGGGATCGTTACATAAAGGCGAGTCGATTAAAGTGAGTTTTAAGACACTTTAAAGATTATACAGTCTGCAGATAATGAACACTTTATCATCAAAGCAGCTCGGAAATGAAAAACAAGTCTTCATCTTTTTCCTCAGCATCCTCCTCCGATAATTAATGACTCCGCAAAAAAAAGTCTGACTCATCAACGGAGAGCTGTCGCTCAAACTGGATCTCCTGCACATGCTGACGGGCTTTTAACAGACGGGTTTAAAGACCAGACAGAGCTCCGTGCGCCTCCTCAGCTGCAGAGACGCTCCCCGCTGATCAGCCAAGATCTGCTCTGAATACTTTAATTAATGATCAAGAGGTCTGATTGAAAATATTTACTGAAATAAAAGGACGTCTATTTTTTAACACACACACACACGTCAGAGTCAGAGATTCTTTATGGTCATTCGCGCCACATGTGGTACATGTGGTGGAGCCAGAGGGTCCCAGTTACATCCAACAATAAAATGTATAAGAAAAACAGCTCATCCTCAAGTGTAAACGAGAACTTTGAGTGATCAAAAATGATAATAATCCCAAGTACAACAATAAACAACGCTCATTACGGATACATTTTATTTACAAAAAAGGTAAAATAAAACTGCAGAAATGAGCATAATGTGTTTTTATCACCCCCTGCCGTTAAATGTGGGCGATTTTTTGGTAAACTAAACCATAGTTTTCCTTAAACTTTTGCATTAACTGTTCAGGGTCAACCCTGTTTGTCTGTTAGCAAAATATGTCCTGAACCACTGGACAGATTTAGTTGAAACTCCCAGAAACTAATAACTGGATGCACATGGACAACTGATAACCTTTCAGAGTCGAGTCAAGTCAAGTTGGCCACGAAAGCTAAATCAACTTGAACAATTCAGTGAATTTTAAAAAGGTACTGCGCTAAATCTTGGTGTGGTAGTAGCTGAGACTTATCCCCAGCTCATATTCTGAGTGCCAACAGATCACATGACACCTTTGATTAAAAACACTGGCATTAACTGTTGGGGTCAGCCACGTCTGTCTGTAAACAAAATGTGAAGAACTGAACAGATTTTATTGAAACTCGAAAACCAACAATGGGATGTACATCTACTATATTTTTAGAGACTACTCTAATCAAGATGGCTGCCACAGCCAACTGATTTTGCAAAGAATAAAAATGGCTGTAACTTGGGTCTGTTGTGAAGCCCTCAAGCTACAATTTGTTGTGGTAGTAGCTGAGCATCATTCCGAACTCATGTTTTAATTACTACTAAGGGGACCGAGATGGGGTAGAGGTAGGACAACCGACCTGGGACCAGAAAGTTGCGGTTTGACTCCCAGCCATTCCCACATGTCGTGGCGTCTCTGAGCAAGACACCCAATCCCCAGTTGCTCCCCGCGCACTCAATAGCTGCCCACTGCCCCACCTGGATGTATCCCAGGTGCGACGGGTTAAATGCAGAGAACTAATTTTGCCATTGTATGGGAACATACAATGATAACATATAGCACTTATATAGATTTTTACAAGATTTTTACTTATAGCACTAGCAGTAACTGTTGGTGTCAACCTCGTCTGTTAGCAAAATATCTCTTGAACCACTAGACATCTTAATAAAACTAAAAAGTAAATCACTGCCAGTGCATGCACAACAAATTAATGTTTTAAGAGTCAGTTCAATTCAATATGGCTGCCTCAGACAACTGACCTAAAAAAAAAACACAATTATATTATTGTATATCTCCATCCATCCATCCATATATACATATACACACACACATATATATATATATATATATATATATATATATATATATATATATATA